TCTGGGCCTCCATTCAGGGACACCCCTGACACATGCCTTGTTTTAGTGGCTTTCTTTAGGCACAGAGGCAAATTCCATAACCCATTTCTTCTATCCTTAACTCTAAAGCCAGAACCATGCCAAGTCTGCTACTTACTGGGCCTGGAACAGCCCCCTCATTCAATTACATTTTCACCAGCTTTTTGTCCTTCACTGTCTAAACATGGCTATCCTGAAACTGGATCTCTAGACCAGGCTGGCTAGCTTCCCCTTCTCAGTGCTGGGGGATTAAAGGCATGTACCACCACACCCTGCTCTAAATGTTTCTTTTCACTAGTTGGCAACTCATCTGGGTGGGATCTTTCCCTGATGTCACCACTCCCTTTATTCCTTCCATTTCTTAATCTATTTATCTCCTCGAACATAGGATTTAGCTCCATTCCACTTCCTGGTGCTCTTTTGCTCCTCAAAATTTACATTTTGTAATTTACCTTGTTCAACTTGCTCCTTTTCATTATAAATCTTCATTAGAGCTACCACTAATAACCACACAAAAGAGTCTATCCTAGGCTTCCTAGGCTGTTTTGGGATTTCCTCTGTTCATGGAATTAATACAAAACTCTTCTCGTGAGCCTCAGGCAGACTTTTCAGGCAAGGGCAAAAGGCAGCCACTTTCTTTAGCAAAATATTACAACGATGTTCTCTAGACAACATACTAAAATTCTTCTCCTCTGAACCTTGAGTGAGAGACCCCACAGTCCATCAAATCACATTCAACACCGCTGTCTTCCATGCTTCTCCTAGTATGGCCCATTAAGCAGCACTTAAAGTATTCTGCCGCTTTCCTAGCCCAAACTCCCAAAGTTCGTATTTCTTCAAACAAAAACATGGTCAGGCCCATCTCAGCAATGCACCAGTTCCTGGTACCAACTTCTGTCTTAGGGTTTGACTGCTGTGAAGAGACGCCACGACCATGACAACTCTTATAAAGGAAAACATTGAGTCCCCCGCCCTTGTAGTTTCAGAAGTTCTGTCCATTATCATCATAGCTGGGAGCATGGCAGTGTGCAGGCAGACATGTACTGGAGAAGTAACTGAGAATCCTACATCTTGTAGGCAACAGGAAGTCTGGGCATGGCTTGGGAATATATGAGACCTCAAAGCCCACCCCCACAGTGACACATTTCCTCCAACGAGGCCATACCTACTCCAACAAAGTCACACCTCCTAATAGTGCCACTCCCTATGAGATTATGAGGGCTAACCACATTCAAACTCTCATAATATATGAACCCTGGGGATCATTCTGCTTATGTCTCATGAAAGCATGGGATGTCTTGAGGCAAGTTATTTTGAAAGCAGTGTTGTTGTTTTCTTAAATTTGCATTGTGGTTGTGTGTGCATGTGCAGGTACACACATACCAAGACATGCATGTGAAGGTTATAGGGTGACTCTCAAGAGTTAGTTCTCTGTTCTACCATGTGTGTGCTCTGGGTGTCTTTGCAGTCTCTATAGTTAGCCACCACTGATCCAAACTTCTGGAGTCTGACACAAGGCAGACTTTAGCCATATTTAAGCACAGCACCACTTTGGAAAAAACGTTTTCTGATGATGTAAAATAAAACTTAAGGTTTGTTTACATTGAAACTGTTCACAAAGTACATTTGGCTTCTTCCATAAAGATGGGTTCTGTTGACTTAGAAACAATGCTCAAGATAAGGCTCTTGGGAGAATGACTGAGGTAAACATTCTGCCTGTGGGAGTCAGGATTGGCCTGGCCCTACGATAACATAGCAGCTACTCAAGACTGTTGTAAAGTACAAATGACATCTCTCACAAGGATGGATTTTATGAACTGAGAAGCAAAGCTCAAGATTTGATGGGAAAAGGTGTGGAGTAAACAAATATAATATTCTGGGGGATTCAGGTAAAACCTGTTCTTATAGATAGCAAAGAATCACCAGGTTGTAAACTACATCCTTTCTCGGCGTTCTGGATGGAAGACAGGTAAACATCTTTCTTTGAAGAGACATGCCTGTGTGTTTAGCTTTCCTGGATTCTTTGGTTCTTATCTTTGTGCACACGGACCTCTTACATACACATGGGTCCCAGGGACTGAATTCAGATTGTCAGGCCCTTTTACCTACTGAGCCATCTTGCTGCCCCAAGGCAAGTTGTTTTGAAATGTTTGACTGGTCAAGCTGAAATAGACAAAGTACTCCACTCCAAACTGGTACGCTGATTTTAGGCAACCCCTGAGCAACCCCAAACATCCCAAGACATCCTCTGTGGACCTCGGCTGGGAAAGAATACTGAGGGAGACCTCAAAGACATTGTGTCAGGTGGGGTTGAGGTAAATAAGATCCCTATGAAGTGACACACGGGGTGTTGTGGTGTTGTCAGAGGTAAGAGTGGTGTGAGTACCCTGCAGCAGGCCTGGAAAGGGGCCATGACCTCTGTAGGATACATGTAGCCCAGTAGAGATGGAAGCACAGGGGTGAGGGTCAGTGCAGATATCCCATATCCCACCCCTAGATACACAAGGATGAGGAGACTCACTGAAAAGAGAGATAACAGGCTGGAGGTGCGGGAACCAGAGTACAGAACGGGAGGAGAGGGCAGCATGCCATAGAGCCCCAGTCACTTGGCACCAGTCCAGCATCGCCCTTGGTAGGGGGTGCAGTTAGGATCTGCATGTTCATGAAGGGTGTCTTACAGAGCTGTGGGAGCATGGGCAGGTGTTTGCAGGAAGAGCAGAGAGAGAAACATCTGGAAAAACAAAACCAAAAGAGGGAGAATTCGTACTTTGTCTGCAAGCAGAAAGGGAGGCTAACTGGTTAGGAAACACGTCCCAGGAGTTCTCAGAGTGGAGAAATTATCCCAACATCTGCTGAAGCACTCAAACAGACTTCATTTCCGGCTGTTGCCGGAGGTGTAGGACTGCTGTAACGGGGCTCTGCTGTGGAGGAGAGCGGTCGAGCTCAGCTCGGGATACAGCGGGAAACGGGATTTTTATATGCAAGAAGCAGGGGCTGACAGTGGAAAATCACTAAAGGGGAACATCAAGCCTAAGAGGGGCTGGCTAAACCACTGCACCAGGATTCCTTCCTCAGCCGGCCAGGTGACTAGACATCTGTTGGGCTGGGAGGATCCCTGTCATGTCAGAGGGGGGTCACAGTTTGGGAGTGGCAGTGGGTTACAGCCAAGTCACTTTAGCCATGCCTACAACCAAAACAGATTCAACAGATTTCTTTAGTTGAAGAATCTAATGACCTCCCGTGAATTTTCTGTCCTTCCCCTCCTGTCCCTTACCTTTCTCTCCCCTCCCCTGCCCTCAGCCCCTCACCCAGAGATCTAGATTTGTAGTCAAAGCTGGCCTTGAACTCAATATGTAGTTCAGGTTGTTCTTGAACTTGAGGTCTTTCTTCCTCAGCCTCCTGAGTGCTGGATTACAGACCTGCACCTTCTCTTTCTTTCTTTCTTTCTTTCTTTCTTTCTTTCTTTCTTTCTTTCTTTCTTTCTTTCTTCCTTCCTTCCTTCCTTCCTTCCTTCCTTCCTTCCTTCCTTCCTTCCTTCTTTCTTTCTTTCTTTCTTTCTTTCTTTCTTTCTTTCTTTCTTTCTTTCTCCTTTTCCTTTTGTTTTGCTTTTTTGAGACAGGGTTTCTCTGTGTAGCCCGTGCTGTCCTAGAACTCGCTCTGTAGACTAGGCTGGACTTGAAGAGATCTGCCTGCCTCTGTCTCGAGTACTGGGATTAAAGATGTGCCTCTCTTTTAACAGAAGATTCTTGCTAAAGTGGGACATTGCTAACATAAAAAATGGATCACTGACAAGTGGGGTTAAGGGAGACTGGCAACTCCCGTGGAAAATGTGGTTACATGCAAATGCACATGTGTGGTGTCTGCACAAACATACCACGCTGCAGGTGTTTCCATGCATATTTGTGGGTGCTTTTATTCTGTTTTGAGACAGGGTTTTTACACAGCAGTCAAAATTGGCCTAATAACGTTCCATCTATCTATCTATCTATCTATCTATCTATCTATCTATCTATCTATTTATCTACCTACCTACCTACCTATCCATCCCCTGTGAGCCCCAGAAATTATCTGCCTCAACCTTTTAAGTGTTTTGAATATAACTATGAGCCACCATTCCTGATTTTTAGTATACCTTTAAACATTCAGAATATCTACGGGAAAAGTCAGGTGTTTTACAGGGGATTGTAGTCCTGCCTGGATGGCATGTACCCTGGTTTAGTTCCCTTCAAGAGAAGGGAATTAGACAGTATAGAACATTTTCATGGCTTCTCTTTGCTGTTGAATGGTTTTTGAAACCTGGTTGTGGAAACAGCTTCTGCCTGAGGAATCTGGAAGGAATTTTAAACAGCTAGGTGGGGTAGCAAGTGGTTCAATGGATAAAGGAACCTTCTGCAAAGACTGAGGGCCTGAGTTCAATCCCTGGACACACACGGTGGAAGGAGAGAGCCACCACTGTGTATTGTCCTCTGACTTCTACATGTGTGCTATGGCATGCATGCCACTCCCAATAAGTAAATGCATTTTCTTTAAAAATCAAACGTAGGTGAGGTGACGTAGCAACAAACCTGATGGACCTAGTTTCATTTCTGGAACCTGTACAAGATGGGAAGAGAGAACTAGCTGCCCTGACATGTTCTTTAATTTCTACACTTAATTTCTATGGCATTTGCATGACCTCCCACACCCCAACACTAAATAAAATTAACAAAAGAAAGACAGCAAACAAAACAACCACAAACTAATAACAAAAGCCACCATTTGGTGTTTGGGGCTGGGGTAGACACATCTGAGTGGGAAGGGTAGGTGGTGGGTTATGGGTGGGAGCAAGAAGGGAAAAGAGGGAGGGGAGTAAAGGGAAGAGAGATTGTTGTATTTTAATAAATCAAACTAGCTAATGTAATGGCAGGATGATTTTCCTTGTCGCCCACATGGTGTGATTGCACGTTCTGGATGGTAAGATTACCCATTTATTTTATTCACAGGCTGTATTCTGACTATCTCTACTTTGCAAGTTCAAATAAGTCTGCAGATGACTTTCACGAAAAAGTGACGGAGGCTCTGCAGCTGTTTGAAAATTGCATGCTGGATTATTCCCTGCGCGCCTGTGTCTACAACAACACCCTGAACAACGCCATGCCCGTGCGTATTCACCAAGCCGGCCTGTACAGAGCGGGCGGGGCCACTCTGATGCTATTCTGTGTGTGTGTGTGCGCGTGTGGCGGGGGCGGGGCATTGTGAACAGGGTTTTAGTGCAGAGATGAGGACAGAGTGTTTCAATGTGCAAATGATACTGAGCTGTCTTTGGGCACTGGCTAATGTGGAAGAAAACGCCCCTGGCTGGGAGAGCCATGGAAGGAGCTGATCTTCCCAGCCTGCTGTCTGTGTCCTCTCTTACCTGTCACCCAGACACTTGGCATCGTGCATCTCCTCCCTCTACTAGAAAGCCAGTGTGCACTTAAGAGGACCACCATTTAGTAAGGCTCCCAAAGTACACGCTGTAATTAGAGATGTCAGACAGGAAGACACCCGTCCTAAGCTTGTCCAGAGCATCACTGTAGCACGGGCTGTTCCAAAAGAATTACCCACTCGTGAGTCTGAATGCTGTTCTCTTGACTCCTCCGTTGTTCTCTATCTCCTCTTAAGAAACGCACCTAAAGTTCCAGCCTTATGTAACAAAACAAAACACTGCTGGCTGTGAGTCCAGTAACTTAGCTGAGGTCACTTCTCCACTCTAGGCTCCCAGGTCTAAGTGCTTCCACAGAATAGCTTTTGTATTGGGTAGCTACCTGCCCCTCGGATGCCCATGTCACATATCAGACATGCGCAGACTGCTGTAGATGAGACTCTACCCCCACCCCAGGGCAGTGAGGCTCAGGGGGAAGACTTCAGTCTCTCTGCCTGGCTTCTCAGACCATCTTTTCTTCCTCTGGGATGTCTTCCTGCAGGCTTTGTTGTTTGGTAAGGAAAATTCAACATAGTTAGCCACATTTTCAGATAGGCAAGTTTTGGAGGCAGACGGCATGGGGTCACTCTGGCTTTTCCTGGCTGAGTGGCTTTGCACAACTGTCTTAGCCTCTGGGAGATTCAGTTGCTTCACTATAAAACCATCAGACTGCTAGGGGAATTCAAGACTGAGAGCCATTGCACAGGTGCCTGCATTCGCAAATGTATGGTACTGCATACAGCTGTGAGCCCACTGAGGCGCGGAAGTGCTCCAACCAGGCTGGGAAGTGATGGACTCCGCCAGTGTTGGCTGCCCATCAGCCTGGGGCTGTTTGTTCCTTGGCGCAGGCCCTCCTAGTGCTTATTGTCTTCTTGGTAGCCAGCTACCCAGGAGATGGGGAATCTGAGGCCCAGGTCTAGACTTTGAAACCCAGTTTCTCTAGGGCTCCAATGTGTCTCCAGAAGTCCCGTCTTTAGTAGTTGTCATGCAGCAGGCTCTGGAGGGTGGGAGACGTCAGGTGCTCTGTTGGGAAAATTCAGGTATTCCTGGATGCAGCGTTGCTTCCACCCCGGGCTTTCTGGGATTCCCTGTTTGTGACGATGGTGTGCAACTCTCCACACAAGCCTGGGGAGTAGGTGGGAAGACGGGCAGAGGGAGGCAGGGGCAGGCCAGATGACAAGTGAGGGGTGAGGTGTTTGGCTAGTGTGGCTCCGAAAAGGGGAAAGAGGCAGGGCCATTCCTGCTAAAGCAGTCACCATCCACTTCTGGCTTTGGGAGAACTCCCGAGAAAGACTTCAGAGAGGGAGGGGCAGATGTAGGTTCATCCCAGCCTCAGTTGGCAGGGTGTCATGGGGAGAGAGAGGGGATTTAGAGGTCCTGACACAGGCTTAGTTGGGTTTAGTAGCTGTGAGCTGAGCTTCTCCTGCCCTGTGAATGGGTCAGCGTCTAACAGAAGCAGATCCGTATGTGGGGGCATTCCATTCTACCCGAGGCTTGCCCTAGGAAAGAAAAGCCTGTACCAGGCAGGCTGGATGTACTCTGGCTGTCTCTAAATAGGCTTCCTAGAGACAGGATATCCGTGCCATTTCCTCTCACAGAGAAGAGGGGGTGTGCCTGGTGTGTTTCCTCTTTTCTTCCTGTCTATAGATTGGACATGGGAACACCATTGTGATTGTTTGGGGAGTTCATGGGTAGATGTGTGATTTTCTCCACCTCTGGGCGTGCTGGAAACATCCTTACTAAATGTTTGTAAAGTCCACTGGTGAGAGACAGGAAGTATCTAACTTTAGTGCATTGCTTACTGGGTACTATCCTAAACCTTTACATCCTCACTGACCTCTGAAATTGCTCCCATTGTACAGATGGGGACACTGAGACTCACTAAAGGTGTAACCCACCTGCACCTAGCAACAGGTTGGCTGGCTGATAGCCTTTGAAACCTGCTTTCCTTTCCTTGCTCTTGGAAGTGGTTCCAAGACAGCAGGAGGCATGTACTCTAAATTTCATTTGTGGCATGCCAAGGATGACAACACCAGTATACCGCCTAACACCTCTTGTCTAAGGGAGCGAGCATCAAGGGCATGGCAGTGGACAGGGTGACTGAAGTCCAGGAGAGACTCTGTGCAGGAAGGGGAGAGGGCAGTTAGCGATGGTGGAGATACTGCCGTGGGAGATGGTTGTGCACTCTGGGATAGGAAGAAGGCTCCCTTCAGGCTGCGGATGCAGCCCACCTCTAGCCTGAGGGATGTGATCTAGTCTCCTGGGTGTGGCATTGCAGGTGTGTCCACCACAGCTAGGCCCTGCACACTCTGCCTATACTAAGGTCTTTACGTGGCACCTCACTGCTGAGGGCCTCCTCCCTTCCTCAGTCTCTCCCCATTTAGGTCCTCAGATAGCCATGGCCTTTGAGCAGGGCTCACAGAGTGAGCCCCCTGAGAACCTGGTCAGAAGCACAAGGCCTCTGCTCCTCCTAGATGTCATGTATCAGGTACCGCAGGAGGGTGCAGATGTGGACGGCCATCTAGGCCACTGGTGAGGGTGCAGGCGGGAGACCATCTGCCTAAGTGACCTGCTGTGGATGCGTGTGTACTCAGGGTCTGCTGGGCTCTGGAGCCTTCGCCGTGTTTCTCCTCTCTCTCCCTCGACATGTTTCTCCTCCCTCTCTCTCGACATGTTTCCCCTGCCTGTGCAAGAACTTGTCATCTTTCTCTAATCTGACTGAATGAAGAAATGAATGTCTGGCTGGGGAGAAGAGAGGCCAGGTGGGGAGCCCCAACTGAAATTGGGGGAACAGTGAGGGTTGGAGTGCACCTGTCTGGGGCAGAGGAGGACTTATGACTAGGTTTAGCTCAAACTGGATTCTTTTGGGTCCTTTCTGCGCCCCTCCAAGGTGCTTTCTGGGATTCCCGTGAGTTGGTCCCTAGTGGTCTTTAGACTCCACAAGGTCCTTTTTAGGATGCTCTGTGTTGTTTCCTGTGCCTCCTGAGGTGTTCCTTGGGTCCCCCCAATGTACTCCCTGAGCCCTTGAGGTGCTTACAGGGAGCTCCCTCTTTACCAGAGCTCCTTTGTGGTGGAACAGGCATCATGTCTGTGAGGGACTGGGCCTCATGACTTGAGTTACCTCAGGAGTTACCTGCTGAGTCCAGGTGGATACCCCTGCCCTCCTGCTCTCTGGTTCTTTGTCAGTGAGTCACCAGGCATCCCTAAGATCAAAGGCTTCCTTCAGCTTTGGTGTTTTCTAATTTTAAATGTATTGAGCCCTTGCCCTAAATGTTGACTCTACATTGGCTCTATTTTGACTCTCATTCTATTTTGGTTCCTATCTTATGCTGGACTGAGGTGACATAAATGGAACTTTGTATGGCATTATCTTAGGGGTGTCTTCATGGTTCCCCGTTGCAGTGGCGTTGCTGCATGCATAGACAATGTCCCTGAGGGGCCCAGAGCTCTCCCTGGCTGAGGGAGGGGGCTTCTAGAACCAGTGGGTGGAAAACTCTCCCCTTGGGAGCCAACACATTTGTAGGTATCCTGTGTCCTCCCTCCCTGGACTAGCCTTCGCTGTGAGGAAGTCCCTGTGTGGTCAGGACTTTGTCCTGAGGGCAATGGTAGACTGTCATCAAGATGGTCTCAGAGGCTGCTCTGTTACCAGGGCAGATGCAGGCACAGGCACAGCTACTCTAAAACACCAGTGTCCTGTCACTGACAAGTCACGTCCTTTCCTTCTGGGTGCTTGTCATGTAACAAAAGCAGTTTCTCTGGAGGAGACGAACCTTATGAGGCCAGGCTGGCTGCAACACTGGTGGGGAAGAGACAGGAAAGCCCCTGGGGACCTGACCTAGCACGGTGTTTTCGTCTCAATTCCATGTTGGAGGCTACGTGTGTATTTGTTACTGAGACTGGCACAGGCTTATCTCCTTAGTCCAGTTTGAAGTCTTTATCAGCCGGTATGTAAGGTATACCAAGGCAAGGCCTAGCAACAGCTAATGGATTTTGGAGACAACTTAGCTCTTGGCTCTAATTGTTTTCCTTCCTCCCCGTCTTCCTACATCATTAGAAAAATGATGAAATGGAAAAAGAGCTGCGAGAGATGAAAATGGTTAGCATTTGCATGCATTCTGTCATCAAATGTTCCCTTACCACAGTACTGTGTTCAGCAGTGTCACCAAGAGCTCAAGTGAATGCTGACACAGAGCTTTGTGGGAGGTGACTTGATGGCCCAGCCCCCAGGAACCTCAAAGTCAAGATGGTCAGGGAGAATGATGAAGAGTGTTTTCTAAAAATAAATGATAGATAGATAGATAGATAATTTAAAAACGAAGGCCCTAAGGAGGAGCCTAGGACTGGCAGCAGCCATGGAAGAAGAATGAATTGGAAGTTGGAGGCAGCTCAAGGTTTTCCAAATGGAGATCCTCAGGGCCAGTCAGGACCAGTCAGGGCCAGCTTTACAAAGTGCATTCCCATGACAGGTGGAAGGACACAGTGTAGAGACGGGAGAGCCAGCCAGGAGCCTTATGGGTATCTAATGGATGTTAATAGGAGTGGACAAAGAAGACATAAGTAGAAAAGGGGAGTAGTGAGTCACTCCCACTTCTGACGCCAGTTGTGAGTTCTGGGGGAAAGTCACCAACCATCTTCAAGTCTGGAATTAAGGAAGGGTTCACAGGACAAACCAAAGGCTGCTGTGACAATGACCACAACTTAGGGCACGGAAAGGATGCAGGGTCACATCAGTGAGGGAAAGTGAATGGCAGAGTCTCCAGTCCACTTCTCCCTTGAGAGTCACAGGTGGTGCCAGCACCTCCCAGCCATGATAGATGCATGACCACTTGACCGCAGGGGCTACCCCAGGTTGTAATGTCCAGAGTTCTTGCTGGGGTTCCATCATATACTGACCCTCTGGTTATTTCAGAGACCGGAGCTCTGTCAGAGATCTCTGTGTGTTAGCTTGACTGGTGCTCACATTCTAGGGAAACAAAACTGCTCCTGTTGGGCAAGGCAGTCCAGGGGCCTTAGCAGTCACCTCCCAGGCCAGAGGGCAAAAGCCAGAGCTACCTTTGAGTGGGCCAGTTCCTTACTACCAGTTTGCAGTTTGTCACGAGAGAAGGAACAGGGTAAGGACTCAGGAAATGAGTAGGAAGGAAGGAGGAAGGCTTCACCTGTGCATTGGTTTTATTCTCCTATCGTTACGTTCCAAGGACATCACACACATTCATGGTCATGGTTGTCCTTACATCTTATGGTGTTTGGGCTATCTTTGAGATGTCTGTTTTTTACCTTTAACAGTCTGTTTGATTGACAACAAGGAGACAGCCACCCACAAAGAACTTGCAAGCTCTTGACTTCTTTCCTGGGCTTTTGCTCTCATTTGTGAGGAGAGATTGGAGCCACCCATGGGCTGACATGAAGACTAAATGCAGCCCTAAGTGTAGGGATTCCTTGCATATGTGGCACAGAATGCCTTGTGCTAAAATTTGACTTTGGAAGATGATCGCTTGCTAAGATGAGTCTGTGTTGGTTTACAGGGAGATGTCCATCATGCTTAGGAAAAGCACTCCCCAGGGCTGGGGAAGTATTTTCTGCAGTAACATCCTCCTCCTCCTTCCTAGGTGAGGCTCCAGGTTGGGCTATATGCTGTGTACCTTCTGGACTGGTTCACTGTCTTCAACAAGGAACAGTTTCTCATTCTGCGTCTGGAAGATCACGCATCCAATGTCAAGTACACCATGCACAGAGTCTTCCACTTCTTAAACCTGGGTATGTGTCGTGCTCCAGACATGGGCTTTCTCATTTGTGTGTGTATTTGTAGTGTGTGTGTTGTATGTGTATATGTGTGTGGGGGTGAGTCTGTATCTGCACCTATGAGTGTTGGGGCGTGTGTATATCTGTACCTGTATGTGTTGGAGTATATGTATGTATCTGTACCTGTGGTGTGTGTGTGTGTGTGTGTGTGTGTGTGTGTGTGTGTGTGTTAGGGTGTATGTGTGTTGAGGTGTGTGCACACACAGGTAAGAAGTCAACACTGGGTATCTTCCTTACTTTTCTCATTTTTTTTTTTCGAGAAAGGGAACTTACTGAACTCAACTTGTTGTTTGGTTAGACTGGCTAGCCAGGGAGTCTCAGGGTCTGTTTTTTCCTTCCTTCCAATTCTGGGTTATTGACACATGCTGCCACACCCAGATTTTAAAGGAGATGTTGAAGATTTAAACTCAGGCCCTCATGCTTACAGAACAAGCACTTACAAGTAATTTACCCTCTGAGGCAACTTCTCTTACCCATAGCACGTGGGCTCTTTAGGAGTGCACTAGGTTAAGTATAAAATGGGAAGAGATGGGCTGTGTGAGGCCCAGGGACTCCAGAAGAGATGCCAGGTTGTTCCTGTTTGCTTAGTATCTGCTGCCCGGGGCACTGTGCATGTGGTGGTTGTTGGTGAGCTCTGGAAAAGGAGGTACTCCTGAGACCTTTCAACCTAGAAGGAGAAGGAAGCCAGGTCTAACTCACTAAATGATTGTTAGTATCCATGGGGAAGGTAGTTACTGTCACAGTGGGCCTAGTGATGCTGGCTGACCTCAGCTGCTGTGGGACCACAGAGACATTAACGGAAGGCAAGTGGATATGGATTGAATTCTGAAGCAGTTCAACATCACAGAGGGTAGCTAGGACAGCTCTACAGAGACGATTACATCATCTTAGGTGTTGGTGGGGAATCCCTAGAGTCAGGATGGCTCATGGTTGACCTTTGGCCTGCCCTCAGCCTGAGGATACTAGCTGAGGGGCACTCTGCTAACTGGCTATGGCATGGCTGGCAGAGCACATGCAGAGGAGAGAAGTGCTGCTTGGGTGTGGATGAGTCACCCAAGGCAACTGCTGAGGCTGTAAATGTCAGGCCATGGCACTTTTCCACAGGACATTTCCTATAGTCATGTACAATGGCATGACCTGGGAATTCTGTCAACCAAATATTTCTTGAACTATATGTGACCACTGGGATTCAGGGCTCGTATCTTGTAAATTTTCTTTATTTCTTTTATTATTATTATTTTCTTTTTGAGAACTGGTATGGGCTGGAATATAGACACTCTCTTTCCCATTTAAGACTTAGAGCCATTTTTCTTTGATTTGCCCACCTATAAATCTCTTGCGTTATGCGGTTGCCTTCTGTTACTAAGAGGGATGGGACTGTGTGGTCAATTTTCTTGCATAACCCTGAGACACTGGGCTATTGTAATAGTCTTGGTTGGGTCCTATAAGCGTGGGGTCCAGAAGCATAAAGAGCTAGCTAGTGGTCTAGTGATGTATTGAGCCAGTGAGCAGCTTATGACCCAGACGTTCGGGGTAGGGAGGTATAGCTTCATGTGTAACCCTGACTGGCCTGCCCTGGGGACCATCAGTCTTCCACCCTTAATGCCACTATACCATAAGAAAGAGGAAGTAGAATTCATTAAGGCCTAGGCCCTTTGTGTCACTCAAGAACCCAAAGTGGAAATGATAGTGGCAGATTCCAGGCAACCAAAGTCTCTGTGCATAGTTACATAGGACAGGTGATGGCCCTGGATGGCAGCCCATGCAGGATGTCTGGAGATGAACTCTGAGGTAGGCCTAAGGTGAAAGGACCCCATCCCACAATTCAGTAGGGTTCCCCTGAGGGCAGACATGCACCTGCACTTAGAATTTCTTTACAGTGTCTAGTAGTGGTTTCTTCTTTCCTTGGTTTCTCCAAGTAGATCTAACCAGATCTTCTTTTTAATTTTTTTAAAAGATTTGTTTTATTGTATGTTTATGTTTGTTCTGTTCGCATGTATGCGCATGTGCCATATGTGTGCCTGGTACCCTCGGAAGTCAGAAGAGGGTGTCAGATCCCCTGGAACTGGAGTTACAGAATAGTATGTGCTGGGAATCGAAACCAGGTCTCCTGTAAGAACAAGTGCTGTAAACCACTGAGCTGTCTTTCTGGTCCAACCATACATCTTCTTACAGGAAAGTCTTGTCTGAGCATGAAGTACAGTTGGAACTCTTGTGAAGTCCCCTTCACCTCCAGCCTTACAGGATTGTTTCCCTTCTCATTATAGGGCCTCTTAGTGAGAAGCAAGAAGCTTTGATGACCAAGAGCCCTGCGTCAAACACACGGCGTCCTGAGGATCGTAGCCTGGGGCCCATGTGGCCAATCACCCAGAAGATCCTGCAGGACTTCTATGGGCCCTTCAACACGAGACTGGCCCAGGTCCTGGATGATGAAGCATTTGCCTGGAAGACAACATGAGAGCTGAGTTTCTTGTGCCGGAGCTGGGCCTGACTGACTCTGTCATTGTCATGACTTTAAAAGTCTCCTGGTGGAGAACTGTCACCTGCAGTGTGGAGGAAACCACTGGCGCCTCATCCTTTCCTCCCAAGGCAATAGTTCATTGGGACTATTTTGACATATTTCTTGCCATGTTCAGCAGCTCTGGTCTTAATCACTGGGTTCTTCCACCTGAAGCTTGGAAAGTACACTGGGGTTAGGCTTCTGTCTGTTCCTAGAGTGCCTTGGAGCTTAGGAAGACAGGCTGGCACCCAGAGGAGGCTTTGGGAAGCCACAGACCAGCCCTTAACTCCTACCTCCAGGAGAGCTTGTCTGGGTATAGGTTGGACAGTTCTGGTATCTGATTAAGCCCAAGCTCACTAGAGGCCATGTTTTGGGGATTGCTAGAACCACCCTTCACATGTTATTTTCCAGTGCACCTTGCGTTAATGGCTAACCCCATCTAGCAGAGAACGGAGCTGCTTGGAGAACGGAGGCTCTTTTCATTTTTGTTCATATTCCCAAGTCAGCCCTTCAGTGACATCAGAAATAAGCCCTGTTCCCTTTGCTGTGCTCAAAGGAAAACAAAATGTTTTTGGCAGCACGCTCATCTCTCTGACCTCCTGTTCTGCCCCTGTAGACTTTATTTATGCCCAGCATAGAGAAAGAGCACTCTTAAACAAACTGCGTCTTGACTTTGACTGGCCCTGCCTCTCTCTTCTGCTCCTTGGGATGTTTTCTCAACGAATTCAGTTTATATTTGGAAAGGGATGTTTTGCTGTTAGTGCCAGAATAGAGCAACCTCAAGGCATCGAACAGTTGGCGGAAAAGGAAGTGAAGCCCTCACCATGTGTAGAGGGTCACCGGAGAGCTCGAGTTGCTTCAGTTTTTAGTTCTGGCTGGTTACAAGCTCCCTCCCTCCATCTTCCTGTTGGAAGCACCTTTTATCCACGTTCTTTGTCGTGTATGGCCAAAGATTGGTACTCACTAAGGATCTCAAGACACCTGTGTCCTCGGAAACACAACTCACAGACTAAGCTTGGGCTATATGCAGTGTGTGGTGATAAGGAGATACTTTTGCTCTTTCCAGGCCTTTTAGGAGCTTGGTTTGCAGTGAATAAGCTGAAGGTCTTGTCATTACCAGAGAGAACGGCTTAAGCCCACTTGGCACATAGGGTCAGGTGGGAGTGTCAGGAAGCTTCTCACTGGAGCATCACCAAGGGATGCTCCCTGTGAAGCTGTGTCCTCAGGTCAGGATCCTGTCCACCAGCATCAGAAAGTGTCCACACTACATACCCGACTGTCCTTGAGCATGTGAGAAGAGCTGGGCGTTCGCGGCAGGGGGATGTCCAGTTGCTCAGCTGTGTGAGCCCTTCTGCTGTCCAGTCTTGGTGGAGATGGGACTCTCAGCCCATGGGAAGGTTCAGAGAGCTCTGGGCATCAGCATGGTCTGGGCCAGTTCTGCTACTGAAGGGGCTGTGTGTCTAGAAGTCCCCATTCGAAGACAATTCCCCCTATTCTCACAGCCAGCATTTGGCTCAGCATCCAGCGGGGAAATCTGGCCTGAGTACAAGGATGCTTTGGGACGAAATGATTTAGATAGTGTGTGTGTGTGTGTGTGTGTGTGTGTGTGTGTGTGTGTATGTGTGTGTAGAGAGAGAGAGAGAGAGAGAGAGAGAGAGAGAGAGAGAGAGAGAGAGAGTATTTATTTGTGATACTGTGTGTGGGCGCATGCGTGTGGGTGCTTAAGCTGAGTGGGTTCCCCTCAGCTATCTTGCTGATGAGGCTTCTCCCTCCATTAGAGACATGATGCCTTTATGGATTAATTTCTCCAGTTAGCCTGTCATCTTCAGGACATATCTTAACAACCCCACACCAACCACGATTCTAAGAGATTTTTCTTGCGCACTCCTATGCATGTGAATAACATGTAGCGTAATTCTGCTTCTTACAGAAGTATTGCCAAAGGTATTATTTCCAATATTATTTGGTTCATTGCTGATCTTTTAAAATATACAGCCCTCTCTTTCTTCCACCTGGGGCTATTCATACCCAGTTTTCTCTCTAATGGTCTCTTCCCAGGGGTCACCAGCATTGCCTTTGCTTTTGCTCGGTTGAGGCCTCCTCTTGTTGAGAGCACAGGTTGTGTTTTGGGTGGTGGCTCTCTAGCCTGTCACCCCAAACCAAAGCAAAACACAGACCTGGTATCGAAGACACTTCGTATTCCCAAAGCTGTGTGCCAGGCTGTATGAAACCTTCCCTCCCTTTGTCATGTAAGGTATGATATGCGAGTCACATTTATTCTGTACTTTTATTCATATTTAACATAATTAAAGATGGACCCACACAACGGGTGCCTGCAGAGAGTGGGCCCTCCATCACAAGCTTTCTGGACATTTCTTTCCATGGTGTACTGTGTGTGTGAGCAGGTTGCAGGGTGGGACGGTCAGCACCTCCCCTGCCTTGCTGGAATTCTCACCAAGTACATGGTCTCATCACAAAGAGATGGACTGTGTTCCTCATCGCCAAAGAAAACCCAAGAGCAGACAACAGAGTCACACCTTTCCCCTGGGGAATCGCCATGGAGGCCTGCTGTGATTGGGAAACGGGGTGGGAGCTTCTGTCCAGCTCCTAGTGGTCCTCACATGGTCTTCAGATGTAGGAATCTAAGATGGAGTGACCACTGGCCTCAAGGATGTGAGTTTGAGATGCTGGTGCCTCTGGGTGTTTCTCATCCCTAGGCAGGCAGGGTCCTGCTGGGACTTGAGGGTGGGTGAGCTTGAAGAAGGAGAGGGTGTTCTCCTCAGCATTGGCCTCCATAGTAGAGTAACTCCGACAGGGCTCTTTACACGCTGAGCCACTTTTCCCTGTGAAGCCCCTCCCCTCAAAGGTACCACGACTTTCCTAAACAACTTCAAGAGCTGAAGGCCGTGATCAAACACAGGAGCCAATGGACACACTACACATTCACTCACCACACAACACGTGCTTACTCTGTCACTGCTCAGGTACAAGACCGATCGCAAGGGACCAGTACATTGGTTTCTCTGGAGCCTCCTTCCATGGCTCATTAGTGCCTGCTCTCTTACCTCCTCTTCACATGGGTGCCATTCTGTGCAGGCCCTCTTGTCACCTCTTTACAGGGGTCCTCTTCAAATGCAGTCACCATCAGAGGCTCCACCCACCGAAGATGTCAACACAAGAATTTGGGGATGGAAACCATTTGGTCCACAGAGAGGGCTTATTCCACACTTAGAAGCCTGGACACAGAATGGCCCTTTGCCCAGTCCTGAAGTGTGTCTCCCTGGCACAACTCCTTACTCCGGTGTGTCGGGTGTGGAGTTAGACTCAGCATAGCCTGGGGCTGGCTTTACTCTCTGAGAATGCTTCTGCTGTGAGAAGGTAGAGGGTGGTGGGATTCAGGAAGCAGGCCAAGGCCAGGCATACTGCTGAGGGTTATTGGTCCCTCTTGCAGAAGCTCTCCTAACGCTTGTTGCTAGGAAACCCAACTACAGCCTCAAGCCTGGGTGGTGCTTGCAGGATAGTGTTTGTTGGGGGCAGCAATCATGTCCTGAGAACATCCTTGTGCCCCATGGGTGAAGCCAGTCGAGTGGAGACTTGCAGGAAAAATTAGCTTCACAGAGCCTAGTTTTCCCTGGACCAGCTCCTCTGCAGGCATCTGAGAAGGAATGGGTTTGGACAGGCATCACAGAGTTGAGTGAGATTTTTAGCTACTGCTGAACAAATCGCCTCAACTGGAATGCTTTTCTGCCCCAGAAGGAACTCTGAGCAGTGACCTCTTTAACCCAGGCCTTTGGGAGAGGGCCCAACAGCCTCACTTTAGTATCTATCCTTATGATGGCCCCAGGCTGTTCTGGCTTCCATAACCTCAGCCTCTTCCCATTGGTCACTAAGGTCATCTGAGTGACTTCAAACAAAGTGCGTTTCTCATCATACAGTCCTGGAGGACAGAAGTCCCCTGTCAGGCATTTTACACTGAAGCAGGGTGCAAATTAGGCTGTATCTCCCAGGACCCCAGAGCAAGCTGTGCTCAAGCCGTCCCGCTTGAGAGGCTGCCATGTGCTTTGGCTTGTAGGCTACTTCCTGGAGCAACAGTAGAGACTCTGAGATAATCCCCTAGTGTTTTGTGATGGGAAGAGTGGGGCAGGAGTCTCAGTTGGAAGCCCATTGGCTTGTGTCTTTCCCCAAAGATGCTCACCTGGCTGACTGCTGTGCAGCCTAGGCAGAGCTCTATGGGAAGTGTCTTTTGTGGACTTGTGGTTGTCTTTGCTTTTTAGGGCCTGTGAACCTACTCTGGCAGTTCCCCAGTTGCAGGTGCTGGGCAGTTATCAGTTTCTAAAGTCTGAATGTTGTTGAGGTCATCATTCTGCAGAGACAACTGCTTATTAAACGTTGCAAAAATAGAATCCTTTCTCAGTTTCCCAAGAGATCATCAAGCTCACAACCTCCCTGGCCCCAACTTCTACAAGGCTGACCTCTAACCCCACTGGCATCCATTTGCACAATGGCCCGGGTTGGCCTGCCTTCATGGACTCTGCCCCATTGCACTGGCACAGGTTTTGGTCTAGAGCCTCCCAATCTGACTGGCATCCTTTCTCCTCTTTCTCTTATTTTGCTTCTGAGCAGGTGACAGGACTGTCTGTGAGCAGTCATGGGGTCCTTGGAACTGCAGGTTGCTGTCCCAGGAGGGATCAATGATGGGAGACTTTCAGGTGACCATGCAAAGCTGGGTTATGGCCTGGAGAGGAGCAACAGTGTACCTTGGTTGACACTTATACATGGGTGTGTCCTGCGCAGGGTCTTCAGGGCGGTGTGGACAGGAATGCACTGGACAGTACATGTTTGCATCCCTGTGTTGGGGCATAGTTAAGGATGTGAAAGGAACCTTCTATTTCACCATGGAGAATCCCTAGCTGGAGCAGCAGCCTGGGGGAAAGTCAAACTTCATCTGGACTTCCAATGAGGTGTCACTGGGGCCCCACCAGCTTTCTGGGGGTGCATAAGAAGCTCCTTGTGCTTTGAAAGTCCTTAAGAGAGTCAGACCCTGGTCATATCTAGAAGCAGGTGGATCTCAGTTAAGGATGAAATATGGGTCGCAAGTACACTAGTGTCTCAGTTAAGGCAAAACAGTGAGGTGACCATGGAGACTGGATTCAGTAGGCCCCTGAAGAACCCCTTCCTGGATAAACAGACAAAGGCTGGGTCTTGGGAATGGAGGTGAGGGGGCGGCACCTCCCTGACCTAGCTACTCTCTACCAAGAAGGATGCTTCTCGGCATCCTCACATTCTAGCCCGCCTCCATCCCCAGAAGGATAGCATGGAAGAAGACAGTGAGTTCTGTGTTGAAAGAGTAGTGTCCCTCCCAGCTGACCCTCTGTAACCATGGGGACACCACAGTCTGTAGTCCTCGTGAGTGTTATCGGAGTTAGCAAGTACAGACTGAATATCAGAGAGGCTGCACACCCGCCTGAAGTCACAAAGTGCAGGTTCCCAGACAGCGGTTGCACAGTGCCAGCTTGAAGGCTTTTGATATTCCACTTCCAGGTCAACACTTTTAGTCCTGGTCCTGTGTCCTTGGTACCCAGGTGCTCCTCTTCAGTGGGGTGTCTGCATTCTGTGTGTCATGACACCTCCTCTTCAGGCTTCATTTCCAATGCCATCAGGAAGGAGTAGCTGTTTCTGGTGTCACCTGGGCTGGGAATCTGAGTATTGGTAAACTTCCTTATGGGAACCAAAGGACATTAAAGACACCTGCTCCATTCGAAGGCTTGCTGCACTGAATCTTGCCTGGCAGAGGTGGCCTCCCTTCCCTGCCCCAGGCTGGCCTGCTCATAGGCTAAGCCTCCCACACAGATAGGCTACCCAGGGTTGACCTATGGTGAGATGTCCCCCAAGACCTGAGTCACAGCCTGAAAAGGACAGCTCCACCCTCTGGCCTCAGGCTTGCCTGGGCGGCACCAAGGTACACACCCTAGCTAGAACTTGTTCAAAGAACTAACATTTCATTTTCTCAGTAAATATTTTCTGAACATCTACTTTGCACAAGGCACTGAGCCAGGCAGTGGGGTGAGGCTGGCCTGTAGTTTGTGGGCTCGTACACCGATCTTTCCTATTTTCAGTAAGTATTGGTGACTCAGCCATATGCGCCTGATATCTGAGAGAGAGCAGAATAAGCCAGCCACGTGGAGCCTGGTGCCGAGGGCAGAAACTGATCCTTTACTCAAGCAGCACAGAACTGTGGGGGCATGATGAGAGGCGATGGGAACGGTGATGCCTTCCATCTGAGGCTGCCACACCCTCCTTAGCTGCTGTACTCTGTCACCTTCCTGTGTGCTCAGCCCCTAGACGAAGCCTGATGGCATGGCTGGAACCAGTGATCTGGTTTTCCCTAGGCAGGGAAAGGATAGCTTCCCCACATGACCAGGCTCTGCTGGAGTCCACGCTGGCCCCATCACCCCAGAGCCCTGGGTTCCTGTTCCGAATCCCCACTCTCTAGCCTCCATGAGTCACTGCACCTGCCCCATCCACCCCAGGAGGCATCTTGCTGTAAAAGGCCGGTTGGCCAGCAAGTGCCAAGATATCCAAGTATAATAGCCTTCAATTAGCACAGGGGATGTCTCAGAGACTGATGGTAGGAGTCAGGTTGACTTGAAGGAAGCACTCTAGGGCAGAGGCTCCCAGTGAAGGACTGTGGGAGCAAGAGGGTGAGTGAGAGAAGTGTGGGGGTTGGCACCTGGGAGAGCAGGCCCTGGCAGGGAGCTCAGCCTGAAGGCTGAGGTAGGCTCTGCGGGGGAGGGATGAAGCCCAAGCTCCTTGCCCTGTCATTCAGGTTGGAGTGGCCACTGTTGACTCTAGAGGGTACAACAGCTTGGAAATCTGGGCTGAGGCTGGGAGTTTAGCAGGAGCAGGTCAACATCAGGAACTGGTGAAGGCCAGCTGTGGAAAGCCCATTTGAGCAGGAGAATGCCACCTGGTCTACTGGGGTCCACTGCTGCAGGCTTGAAAAGCATAGTAGCACAGTCACCATGGAGATGCTGGGACCCCAGCAAGGAGTTAGAATCTCAGAAGGAGTAAGCCATCAGAGAGGCCTGTGGGGCGGAGAGGCTGGGCTAGAGATAGCACCTGCCATCTACTTGAGAGGCTGCCCCAGCTTTGTCAAGCTGAATGTCGCCCATCCAGGAAAGAATCCCTTTCTCATGAGCGGGCCTACCAAGCCAACATGCTGTGCTCCTGTGTTTTGACCCCATTAGGTCACTGGAGAACAATCCTTCTCTCTGTTAATTGGTATCTAATGGTTTCTGGTTTGCTCCTGGGATTTGCCCAGGCTGGACAATCCCTAGAGCATTTTGGGCTCCGCTGAGAG